ATAATATTTCAAACCAATAAAATAACTGCGGTTCTGTAGATTCTATAAACACATCTAATGTGCAAATACGAAACGGTATGTGAATATTTGTGCAAATGTGGAATTTGCATGAAATTTGCCGTAAATTCGAAACGAGTGCCTTTTTGAAAATGTACTAAAATTGCACCATGTGTGATATATTTAGCAAATTCTATTTTTGCAACGAAATCACTCTGAATTGGCATTAGCGCAAATATATAAATTCACACTAAATATACATCAAATTTGCACCCAGTGGCATGGCGGCAATCACTCTACCGCACCCAGGGCCGTAACGAGGGGGGTATTGCGGGGGGGGGGGGCTTAACCCACCCAACTTTTGTAGAATTAATATATTCGGAAAATCGGGTTGGTCATTCGGAAAATTACGGCAATAATAGTATAACAAAATTTTAGTTGTTTAAACAGAGAAAATATTATAAAATTGTATTGTCAGTATAAACCATTGGTATAAACTGATTTACGAAATCACGGCATTTACATGGATAACGTAAAACAAATCGTAAATCGGTAAATGTTTTTCGGTTTATTACTTCTCAGGGCCGTAGCAGTCGGGGGGAGGGGGGACTGGAGGCAGCAGCCCTTACAATAATTTGCTGATAATCATTCTTTTTTCAAAATCATGCACACCTTTATCATTTAAATAATATACCTTTAAAATACTGACAATAGACTAGAGGTGTGCATCGGATCCGATTGGACGTTTAAAATCCGACAATTGCCTAATGTTTAAAATCCGATCCGAAATTGTCTAATCCGAATCCGATCCGAGTTTTGAAAAAGAAATCCGATCCGATCGGAAGAATTCTTTAATAAAATAAATTTCTCATTCAAGTTGAAATATTTAACCAAATAAATATAAAAGCAAGAAATACATGTCAAGAAGCTGACAAAGTGACGTCCAATTGAAGTATCAAACTGAATAATGCAGCGAAAACCGCGATGATACTTTGATAAATGTATGGATAATTAATTCTTGCGATAGTGCATGGATAATTAATTCATTTTATTTCGGATATCGATCCGACTACGAAACAACTTTATCAATCCGATCCGAAATTTACATTTTGGTTCCGAAATCCGAACGAATCCGATCGGATTCGGATCGGATTTGCACACCTCTACAATAGACCTTAATTTCCCCATTTGAGTGAAATTTTGATCTAGACAAGCCTGGACAAAAATTTCACCACAGCTTGAAAGAGCATCACAAAATTAGTAATATTCCGAAGTTTCGTTGAATGTTGTAAAATGCTGATGATATAGCCTTGCGAAGTTTGCCGTTTTTCAGTCATTTTGCATTACAAACGGGAAATTGATAATCAGATGATCAAACTGATTATCAATTTCCCATTTGTAATACAATGACTGAAAAACGGCAAACTTCGCAAGGCTATATTATCCGCATTTTACAACATTTCGCAACGAAACTTCGGAATATTACTAATTTTGTGATGCTCTTTCAAGCTGTGATGAATTTTTTGTTTTGGCTTGTTTAGATCAAAATTTCACTCATAAGGGGAAAGGTCTATTGATTAATTTTAAGCGGCTACATTATCCATGACAAACCGCAAAGAGTCATATTACCTATACTCTTTCCTGCAATATATAGTTAATTAAATACGCCTTCGCCCATTTAGTTCTACTAAATTGTAAGCAAATTGTAAATTTCGACATACTAAAACTCTATTAACAACTCGAACCGACTTGACCACGTAGCTCAGTTGGCAGAACATTGGACTAGTATCCCAAAGGTCGCGGGTTCGACTCCCACCGTGGCCAAGCAAACTTTTCAGCTTGCCCGCTGTGGATGCATACTCAGAGTAACGT